CAGGTCCAATCGCCTTAAGACGAAGCTCAAGAAGAATGAGCCTGATTGTCACCTATCACAGACATTGGCAGCAGCACGCGCTTTCTTCTATGGCCAAAGGTCACGTGGGGCGTCCACGGAGGTCATCAATCATGCCCGAGGCGATCATGTTCCCATGGCCGTCGCCTTCGGACAATCAATACGGCGGCCTGCAGTAGCAAATGGCGTTACGTCAACAGCGGCCATGCCACCTCCAAATGCCGATAATGGCAGTTTAATTCGAACGGCGTGCGTAATTCACCTACATTAATGACCAGCCTCCAAAGCGGCACCGTTTGCTCGCGTCCTGGGGGCGGCGCGCCTGTGGGCCACGGGATGCGGCCGCAATGGCCAGTATTGCAGTCACAATGCTCGAAAACGCAGGTGTCACACGTGTCAGCCGCTGCTTGCCAGCGGTCCGATATCGATTTGGAAGACTGCGTGATTCCGTTGGCCAACAGCGCGGAGTAGGGGCGGCACGGCACGCGCGTGCACGCCGTGTGCTTTAGGGACGCGTCGACTACGGTGGTCACTTTACAGGCCGTCGCACCGGATATGGCGCTTTGCGTGAGCTTGGCAACTGGCAGCTGCTGTCTGTTCTGACTGTCCGCAGAAACATGTCAGATTAAGAACAGTGTGAGGTTTTGTGACTGGTGTTGCGCAGTGGCTTGAGAAAACGCGACGGGCCATACACAAATACGCGGGAATATGCATGAGGGGCCATACCCTCCGAGAAATGTGCACTCACGAACGGATTGAGTGTATTTAGGAGTTGATTTCAAAACCGTTCATGAAGACGCTGTCCCCTGGTGTCTGCATCACGCGCAAAAATCAGCTTGTAAAGATCATGTCAAAATTCCATATGGGAATCTTCCTGAGCCGGAAAACACAAGCATGAAACCAAAATGTCAAGGCATATCCACACCCAGCCCACAAACACGATGAAGATGCACACAAGTCACACCTGTTGCATGCTGCTGTAAACGAGACTTTTGTCATTTCCGGCAGAGTTTGTGACTTCAAAGCATCCGAATGACAATTCGGTCTAGCGCTTTGCTGCGAGGCGCGAAGAGCGCTGACTTGAAGTCAGTCTACACCTATAAGTGTAGACTGACAGGACTGTAGTCCTAATCTACACCCGCACCTTAAACCTCAGTGGATAGTGTACACCTAGATGCGGGCGTGACTTTGCCTAGTGGAAGCAGGTGTGCGAGTCGCACGGAACAAAGCATCGGCTCGACGACCGAACATTAATTGTATGGCATGGGGAGCTGCTGTATTTTGCACAGGCTTCAGCTCGTATTAAACACCATGGTCCAGGACGTGGCCATCAATCTTAGACCAGCCAGGACACGCTTGCGCTGAAGTCTGCTGCTGCCGCGCTGGCCCGTCACGTCCCGGTCTGCGAAAAGTCAGACCTGTTACATGATACGTCACATGTATGCCGCGCTGGCCCGTCACGCCCCGATCTGCGAAAAGTCGGACCTGTTGCATAACACGTCGCAGACATGCCGCGCTGGCCCGTCACGCCCCGGTCTGCGAAAAGTCGGACCTGTTGCATGATACGTCACAGGTATGCCGCGCTGGCCCGTCACGCCCCGATCTGCGAAAAGTCGGACCTGTTGCATGATACGTCATAGGTATGCCGCGCTGGCCCGCCACGCCCCGGTCTGCGAAAAGTCAGACCTGTTACATGATACGTCACAGGCATGCCACGCTGGTCCGTCACGCCCCGGTCTGCGAAAAGTCAGACCTGTTACATGATACGTCACAGGCACGCCACGCTGGCCCGTCACCCCCCGGTCTGCGAAAAGTCAGACCTGTTACATGATACGTCACAGGCATGCCACGCTGGTCCGTCACGCCCCGGTGTGCAAAAAGTCAGACCTGTTGCATGACACGTCACAGATATGCCACGCTGGTCCGTCACAGGACACCTTAATACGTCCACGACATTAAAAAGGAAAACGTGGGGCCTGGTCGTGGATTGACCTCATCTGCGAAAATCCACGTCACCGGCCAAGAAGCCCAAGGCGCCCAAGCCAAAAAAGTCGCCGGCCAAGAAAGCCGCCAAAAAGACGGGTGCCAAGAAATAGGCTGGCCTGCCACCACCTCCATCCGTCGGGGTGTCTACATGTACCAAAGCGTTTTTTTCACGAAATTATGTAGATATACACCAATTAATTTACACTCACTTGTTTCGTTGTACCAACATGGCTTTTCACGAATTTGTGCATGGTAATCCAGCACAAATTTCACATCGGCATTAACACCCTCCTTCTATTTATAAAACAAATTCACCGCACTATTATTTTACGGAAGGAGTGAAACGAGACATCAGCATCACGGACAGACTAATTGTTTGGACTGTTGTCCTCGCCGGGTGTGTTAACATGCATACAACGTTCCTACCAGTTAATTCTGGGGCCGTCTTCAGGTGGTGCTATTGAGTACTTATAAGAACTGGATGGCGTTTGACTTTCAACTATGTATGTATGCATGTGTCAAAACCCAAATTCTCCCCCTTGAAATTGCTAGGACTCAAATCGCGATCTTCTAGTTGCGAGTCCGGCGCTCTACCGACTGAGCTAACAGGGACGGGCCGAGCAACTGGGCACCAGACTAGGGAACCAAAACGTTGTGCCATGCCAACGCACCAGACGATAACGATACGTTGAACAATTCCTCCATCCGTAGACGGTGCTGGTTGACGAAGGAAACGCTCAGCACGGGAAACAAACCAGTGGCCATATTGAATCGCTGTACGACATCGGTGTGCCGCCACAGCGGCTCGTGTATTCATCCAGCCGGCAGCGCTTTGTACACAGCGAATTGGTCCTGTGCGAGCCTCCAGACTGTATGCGAGGCAGACGTCACGTGTTGAAGCAGGGCCAGTTAGGCGCGGTCGAGCTGGACGTGGTCTTATCTCACCTCCAAGCGTAGGCAGTGTCGGAGGCTCGGCGCGCTTGTGCCGACTTCTGCGAGCGAGACGCCTAAATTAGTTGGAATGCAAGAGAGTTGTGGTAAATGGTGCTTTCGATTAGACGACGGTCACCTGGCTGCACCTGAGCACAGTGGAGACATGTGCATGATTGCAAGCCTCTCTCTCTTTCTCTCTTCTCTTTCTTTCTTTCTTTCTCCCTCTATCTGCGTCCAACTGTCATGCTGCTTCGGATTTCCTCCGCAGAGTTTGCGGTCTTTGTTTCACGGGCTTCGTCCGTTCAATCCGTCCGTATCGCTCGCTCAGTTGTTTCCCATCCCGTTCAACGTTTCACAGAATTCGTCAAACTCCTGGCGTCAACTCAGCGTGCGGCAGTTGCACCGAGTCAATGAAATGCCAATACCAGCACGTTGTGGTCGACGCAATTGGCGGTGGAGGGGGGGGGGAGGGGAAGGGAGGCTACTGAAACACCAGTCCCAGCGTAGCTCATTCATCTTTGGGGGAGAGTGCAGGAACCGCTAAGCCTGTCAACCCCAGCCTTGTAAGAGGAAGAACCGGGTACAGCGCTCCATCAGAGCACGTCTATTTAAGTGGAGGACGAGACACATAAGCAAAGCATATAAAACAATTTGACGCCTGCATCTGAGTCGTATAGTCCACAACAGCTCCTTCCTTTCGGAGAAGAACTGCGCCCCGTTCGCGGAGTCACGTCCGTTCATTTCGGAGAAGGATCAGTGACCCACATTATTCTAGAGCCATTCATGTGAAGGGGTAACTGAGTCCCAGCAAGGATCGCTCATTTTAGGAGAGCAACTGAGTCCATATGACTTCCTGGGTCGTTTATTTCATTTCAGAAGCGAATCCCCATACCCCATCTGCGTTGATGGATTTAAGTGGAAACTGTGACCCACACTCAGCCAAGCTCGTGCATGTGAGACATCGGATGAAGACGGAGTCCCTCCCGGCCGAAATGATTTAAAAGAAGGGCTTCCTCATACCTGCATGGATGTTCGCAAGTTGACTACAGCTACATGTCCAGTTCTGGCAGCATTATCCATCTGAAACAAGGCGTATGCTTACAATGAACAACCTTGAAATGTAAAAAAATGGAGGAATAAACTTCGTTCATAATACGGTACGCGAGAAGCTAAGAAGGTGCAAGTCTGTTGATTGGTGCATTATTGAGCGCAAGAAAATTCAGCCAACCTGCGACACGTTTATGTCACACGATAGCGGACACAATGATGTGGAAACAACGTCCTTGGTAACATTACGCCTGGGAGACCCAGAGCACGAAGCAGATCATTTTTTTTATGCGATCCATTGCGGGTCCGGCCAGGCAGGGTACATCTCCAATCCAAATTATCGGATTATCCCCAACATCGTCGAATCCTAATCTATTGCGCTTAAAAACAAAATCCTAATAAAGCCAGAATAGAGTGAAAACTAAGGCTAGTAATTGTAACGGGGCAGTGTGTGCCAGCCTGCTTGTACACGTCCTTGAACATTGTGTGATGAATAATGAAAGAGATGTGGTGAACAATAACAGAGCTGACGCTAGCCGACAAAGCAAATTCAAATTCATATTCCATCCAATCGTGGTCCTCGCATGACTACGTCTCTGCCCTGATCGGCACGGAATCGTTGAATAGAAGGGTGGAAGGGCATGGCATTCAAGGCTTCTAGATGCCGTGCATTTGCACCTACACAGCGTAGGGTGCTGAATTCCGCTGTGTCTTAGGTCGAAAATCATGGCTGAAGTCAATCTTCCCATGAGGCAGCATTCCGGCTCAGTTTCCGCGCGAAGTCCAGTGGAAGAGAAGCCTGTGTCAAACGTGAACGATATCCACCTGGGCAATGGTCATCAGCCTTCAAAGTAGGTACTAGACTTGAATATTCGGATGTCCAGGATTTGTAGAAACCTGTACGTCATCCACGCCAAGCGGGTGACCATCATGCCCAAAAACATCCAGCTGGCGCGTCGCATTCGTGGCGAGCGTGCTTAAGCGTTGAGAACGAAATCATCGAGACGATTGGAAGAATGGCGCACACCGAGCAGACGGCACGCAAGTCTACCGGCGGCAAGGCGCCGCGCAAGCAGCTGGCCACTGAGGCAGCTCGCAAGAGCGCGCCGGCCATGGGCGGCGTTAAGAAGCCTCACCGCTACCGTCCGGGCGCGGTGGTTCCTCACGAAATCCGCCGCTGCCAGAAGAGCACGGAGCTGCTCATTCGCAAGCTGCCGTTCCAGTGTCTGGTGCGCGAGATTGCGCAGGACTTCAAGACGGACCTGCGCTTCCAGAGCAGCGCTTTCATGACTCTGCAGGAGGCCAGCGAGGCGTACCTGGTCGGTCTGTTTGAGGGCACGAACCTGTGCGCCATCCACGCCAAGCGTGTGACCATCATGTCCAAGGAAATCCAGCTGGCGCGCCGCATTCGTGGCAAGCGTGCTTAAGTGCTGAGAGCGTCTTTTCAAGAGCTCAAGCCCGAAACATTATTGTTCGAACCATGAAAATCAGAACGACTATCCTACGACCAACAACACCAAACCGTAAAAGCCATCACTCTAAAAATATGTCATGCAAGGTACAATCTGGCCTCACGCGTCCTTAAGATAACAAAATGCAACAGCTAATCTCGGTCCTCCGTCGGACGCAGTCGCGAAGCATCCAGTTACGATACATTGGATGTTGCATTACGTGATTAAAGGACATTCTGGTTGGTCTTTTTTGAACCCCAGCCCAATCCGATCTTGCCTTGTAGAATCCAGTCCGTCTTAAAATCCGGCTTTTTGAAATTTCTCAAGTCAATTTGGTCAGATCCGGCTTAAAAATTTGCTTATAAAATTCCACATTTATCCGTATTTACATTCTTTACTCTGTCATCTTGAATATAGCGCATCTAAGCATGCTTCATGATATAACAAATTTCATAAAATATTCTAAGAGAAAAAACAGCATCCAATAGCCAGTTTGAAGTATTCTGCCTAGATGCAGGAATTAATTGCTACCAATTAAGAAGCTTTTTAATAGCCCGGCTGGCATAAAAGTGTATCATGTCATGCATCTGGTATATAAACCTGGCACTTCGAACTCCGTATTAATTGTGCAGATCCTAAATCGTGATGAACAACGCAGGCTAGGTGAAAGAGAAAGGTCTTGCTTGAATTAAATGGAACACCATTCAATATTTTCATAAGTTACAACTGCTAACTATCGCACAATAAGTAAACTATAATACGATACAATCATCACAAAATATCAATAATACGAAGTCCAACAATTGCATCATAACTTCTAGATATCATGCGTAATAGCATTCAACAACCGTTTTCACAAAAGATTACAGTGAAAACTTTTCAAACATTTGCAAAAACTTTAAGCGTTATCATTTTGACCACACGCCTTTTGATCAGCGATTTTCGGCTGGATATGTGTTGCAAAGATTCAAAATATGTTTTAAAGACGCGCAATTTGATCCAATTACGGTAAGCCGGCTATAATCAAGATCATGCTTTTCATGGATGGGAATTATGTCAGATCTCTTCCCATCGAAGCATTTAACACTTTAAAACTTAAAACTCCTATATCTTTGTAGCGTGCCTGTTCATAGAAATGCTTGCATAGCTTACCTGCAGTGCTTACCATGGGTGTAGAAACCGGAGAGGGTGGGGGTGGGGGTGGGGGGGGGGGGGCAGATGGGCCATGGCCCACCCACTTTCCAAGGTGAGGGAGCAGCAGTGTGAACTGCCCCCCTCCCCCCACCCCACTTTTCAGATAAAGATTGCGTTTAGCTTACTTTTGCACAATATTAAACATACATGCCAAGTTACCTGATTCCCGAGCCATCTTCCTCAAGATGCGTCACCTCTTCGTTTGCTTATTGGCCATCGCTTAATATCACAGTCACAGGCCAACGACGTGCGACTCATGGAGACTGCAACACCGAGCGTCAAGGCCGTTGTTGTCATGACTTGCGAGCGCGCATGTTCAAAACCATCTTACATTGCTTTTATAGGTAATGAGTTCTGACTGAATCCTGAATGTTTTAAGACCAACATGGATAAGTCATGTTAATACAAATTCGGGACGCCATTTCATCCGCGATCTACGTTCAGGGAGTCCTCAATATCTCAGAAGACCACAGAACAACATGGAACTGTAATCTATGTAACAATCATTGAACCACCTACGGCGATCAGGCATGTTGTTGCATAAATATGGGCGAGATCAGACGGCGAGAGCCATGTTAATCTGTCTTCTGGGACGATTATTAGTTACAGAAACACGAAAAATAGAGATTCTACCTTTACTCTTCCAGTTTCACCGCCAGATTCCAGCGCCGCTTCGCGGTGCTATAAGGACCAATCCGTTCTTATCATCGGCTTTGAAAATCGCATGTGCAAAATATACGCCCCGACTGCCTTCTAAGCGTAAGATTTGATGTCCTGAAGCGTTCAAAGGTACTTCTTTCAGAAGTGTCGTCATTTTTGTCCACCCGTTAGCCACGGCTCAGTATTAGCTGCTGGGCCTCGGCTGTGTGGCCTGCAGAGACTGTAACGCCTGTCTTCGAGGTTTTCGTTGCTAAGTTTGCGAGCGCGCATGTTGAAAAAATCACGTTACATGAATTGTATCACTAATCAATTCTGATCGAATGTTAAACATTTCCAGACAAACATGGCTTGGTCATGGTAATACACATTATTGGCCACTCGATCTACAATCAAGTTTCGATCATCAAAATTCGATTTCCAAATTTCGATCATCAAATTTCGATCAAACATATCGACCTACAGTCGACATTCGTAACGCCCTTCATGTCTGTAGAATCCGAATTAAAAATTCTGATAAAGTTTTTGAATTCTACCGGCTCATAAAGAGCCCACTAAGCCCATTAAACCCCACAACCGAGTACGGGCACCGGTAATTTATTCCATCGGTCGTTCAACGCCTCATTTCTGCAGCTTATTGACTTCAAAATACAAACAGAATTGATCTCACGGTACCCTCTGGTTTGTGTTCTGGGTGCAGGGTACGAATACCAATGAAACAAATATAAACGTATCCCACATCAACAAGTAAGCTCCGTCCGGGGATTTTTTGGGGGTCACCATAAGAGGGACATTTGTCAACCTTGTGCTAGCAAGGCCCTGGCTATGCCTCTGCCCAAACACAAAAACAGGTCAAATCTTCTTCGTTAAATGATGTGCAATTAATGTCCGTTGGACTAATTCATACCTCAGACAGGCAGCTTCCTGTCTGTGGAAGCTGTGGGATACGTTTATCTTTGTTCTTGGGATTCGTATAAGTCACAAAGAGGGTACGTGCAGATTTCACATGTTTTGAACCAATAAGTGCAATATGATCCGTTGAATACAACGAGAATACAAGTAGAATGAGAGGAGAAGAGGGCAGGCAGGGAGACGGAGGACGAGAGAGGTTAGATGGATATATGAAAGGATCGTGAGGAGAAGAGAAGGAGGAGATTGGAGGAGAGAGAGAGAGAAGCTGCGAAAGATTATCTTTTGAAAAGCGGCCAGCGAAATGAAGGCGCATGAAACATCTGTCGCACCATGAGCCACTGACTCACATTCAAAATTATCACCCACCTTTGCCTAGCCGTATTTTGGCATCAACCCTATAAAGGCAGGTGTCTTCTCAATGACCCAAAATGCCTAGCCACTCATAAAATTTCGCGTCCCAGGAAAGACAATGTGAAATCGACGAATAATCTTGGGAAGCTGCATAGCTTATTCGCTGAATGGCGTAGATGAGTCGAATAGGCAAGATTGCGCACCAGTGATAAAAAGTTCTAGATCCATATATAGCATAGCAGTCATGACATTTGAATAAAGAGCGATAACAACCTCGAACTTGAAACCCCCTCCCCGTCATCAGACTTTCGGACTTGCTTTCCAGACAAAATTCCAGAAGTACGCTCTGAGCTTGGCCCCCCAATTTTTCAACGCTCCTACGCCTATGGTGCTTACAGAGCTGGCTTACAGCACTTACAGTGCTTACAGGGCTACATACCATGACATGATCCGACATCCGAACCTAATCCTTTAGTTAGAGTACTGAGCGTATGATTGCAACTAACGATTTTGCTGTGTTGCACTATCAATCAACAATAACTATCCTTACACCTGAAAGTGATACCTAGGCGATAACATCGTAACCACTTATTGAATTGCCTTCATCAGTTAGCAGCCACTTTTTGTTTCAATATTCCACTCAGTGAACTTTCAATATCAATTAACTAGACACCTGTAACTTCGTAGGATTTAAGCAACAGGGAGAGAGAGAGAGAGCGAGAGAGGAGCAGGAAGAGAGACGAATGAGAGAGAGAGGGGAGAGAGAGAGAGAGGAGGAGAGCGGAGAGGAGAGAGAGAGAGAGAGAGAGGAGAATCGATCAGAGAGGATGTGAGGAGGAGAGAGAGAGATGGTGATTGGAGAGATGGAGAGAGAGAGAGAGGAGAGAGGAAGGAGAGAGAGAGAGAGAGGAGAGAGAGAGAGAGAGGAGAGAGAGGAGAGGAGAGGGAGGAGAGAGAGAGGGAGAGAGAGAGAGAGAGAGAGAGAGAGAGAGGGAGGGAGAGGAGGAGATGTAAATCTCGTAGTCATCATCTTTGTAAGTTTTTAGCTCGCAATCTGTTCCATCCATTTGGCCTGACATATTCTGAAATCAGTAGAGACTTCATCCATGTGCTGTCGCAATTTTGTGGTCAAATCCGCCCGCGAATGCACCCGCCATGAGCGGATTGATCCCACCTGTGAATGCTATGGAATATCAGATTTGTGGCAAATGGATATCAAATTGTAATTATGAATATCAGGCCATAACATAATAAGCTTCTGTTCAGTTAGCTCTGTATGTTTATGGAATATCTTAATCCAGTCGAATCCATTTCAATCCGCATCTAAATCCCCCTAGCCCAAGATTCGAAACTAAACTGCTATGACTGCTTAGCGCTGGTAGTAGCCAACTTAGGCTCGCAGGTCTTCAGAATCAGATGGGTACTTAGATCCCAAACCTCAGCTGACCATTTGAGTGCATTTAAAAACAAACTGCATCCCTTACCAGCTGCTGATTGATCATGACATGACTTGTGACGGGTCTGACTAGCGTTTAGTTTTAGATGTTGACACCATTATTTCACTTAGCACATGAGCCCGTTCAACTGAAAGTAAATTATTTTGTTCATGCTGCTGCTAACAGCTAATAATTCCAAGAGCTTGCTGCTTCGGTGACGAATTGCTGGTTGAGACTGGCAATTGGTTTGCTGTTTTTTTATGCGTCGAAACACCTATTGTCAGTCAGGTAAAAATAAACAAGTAATAAAAACAAAAATCTGAATCAGATCAGAATCCTTAAGTTGAGTACATTTGTCGGTCTGATCCTCACCCGATCAGGTAGATGGGTTCAGATTGTAAAATCTTCAGATCCACTATCCAGATC